TTTCCCATTGTATTTCTTTTCTAGAGAGGTTTTCAGCTATTCTCACAGATGACCATAAATTCCCTTTAAACTCCTTTTATGAAGACAAGGAAATATAGTTTGTTGATCTATGAATGCAGGGCATTGGATCTGTCTGTAATCTATTATTTGTTTTCTTACCTGTCCAAAATTATAAGGACCAAAGAAATCTGAATAGATTAATCTTCTCTTATGGTTTATTTTTTCCCTACAGTCATCCACAGCTGTCCACTGTCCACTGTGTTGGTACTTCTCAAACTTTTATAGTACAAGGTATTTACCCTTATCAGAATCATCCCAGGAGATGGTCTTGTACAGCCCTGTCACAGTGCTTTCAATTTATTTTTAAGACTTGGTTCAACTGGGAACAGCCATGTATTACTCCTATTTTTCCTCTATCCATTTTGCCTGGCTACTGAATGCGAGAGTGTGTTGAGTGTTTGGCCCCTTGTGCCTTCTCCTGGGGCTTTGGGTATCCTGTGACTGTTTGGCAGGCTGTCTGCAGGCCACCAGGGTGCCCTGAGTAGAGAAGCATTACTCAGCATCTCTAACTAGAGCAAGTCCTGAGCACAAAGAATTCCACCAATTCTCACTGCCAGAAAACGTCAGCAGCTTTTCCCCAGCCAGTTTTCAGTCTGCATCTTCCCCATCTTCACATCCCATTGCTCCTGTCACCATTGCTGAACTTCACCTGCAGTAATCCCCTCCTGGCACTGACACCCTGGTTTGGGTGCTCTTTCACCTCTCTGTTGTTGGTAGCTGTGTTACTCATGCTGTAAACTGGCCCTCATCAGTCAAGCTCTCATAACAATGTTGCTGCTCCATGGGAATGGAACAGCACTCTGACAAAGCTCACCCCACAGCAGGGTGTGCCAGGGCTGAGTGCCCTGTGCTGAGATTGCTGCTGTCACCTGTGAGCTGTGAGTGCCAGCTTCCCTGCTGTCCTCAGGTGTCCCCCTGCAAACACTCCCCCTGCGCTGGCAATGAACGTGATCCCTCCAGCCACGAGCTCCATTCAGAGGTGATGGAGGGATAAAGTGTAGGAGGCACTGAAAGAACAGAAATAATGGTTGGAAAATTAACAGCCTAGGTGAGAGATGGGGATGGGAATGAGAAACAATACAAAAAGTAAGAAAGACGAGAGAGAGAGAGAGAGAGAACTCCCATCTGAGATCGAATAATTTTGAAGAAAAGGGAGAATATCTAAGGGCAAATATGGAAAACAGATACCACAAAGTTTGTGCTAAGGCATGCAATAAAAATGAGGACAAAGATGGGGGAGGAACAGAGCGACATGATTTTGACTTTTAAATTTAATTATAATATGTTGTTTTTAACAATAAAAGTGCTGCAGATACTTTTGGTACTTGTCTGAAGTGAAAGCTGAACATTCTGATCTGAAGAGTCTTTCCTTGTTGCTGTTACGCGGGCACTTCAGGACCTGGCAAGGTTCAGCTGCAGTGGTGGCCATATTTCAAAGGCAGAACTCTCAGAGACAACCAGGTGCTTAGAAAATAAAGAAATGCCATTCTCTAAATGTGCACTATAGCAATCTACAGAATCTTAATTCGCAGCAGTCTGTAGACTTACAGACAGACATTTCCTATTGATATCTTTGGTCCAGCACAGGCTGCATGAAGGAAGATCGGGTAATAATTGTGGTCATCTGCTTATTGTGTGATGCAGTGTATGCACCCAAAGGGAGGGGGGAGTGCCTGATTTTTAGTTTCAGAACCTAAATGTAAAGATCAGAAACTGCAGACGTAGTAATCTCTTGGGATTTAAGGTTGCTTTTGCATAGCCAAGGGTGGAAGATGAGACAGAGTTTTTCCCAAACTTGATGCTTTAGAAGAAGACTCTTCCACTCAGCAGCACAGCTCAGAGCTGAGTACTGATGGTAGAAAAGCAACAGCATCAGCTGTGTGCACAGGTTCTGGGTTGCATCAGGTCTGTGTCCTGACAGAGTCATTTCTGCTAGGGGTGCATGGCCAGTGCAGCTGCACAGGAGGGCTGACATGGCTGTGGCCTTAACCTGTAGTAGTTCTCAGACTGCTTTTATTAAAGTGCTTTGTTCTAGGACTGTCAGGTGCAAATGAGAATAGTGATTGGTTTAGACTGGAGGGTTAGGCTGGAGCATCAATACAAAGGGACACAAATACAATACAATACAATACAAAGCCATGGAGCCAGAATCATGATGCCCTTCTCATCTCTTGACCGTTATGTTTACTTATTTGTGTGTATTTACTGTTGTTCTTTTTGGCAATGGTTTTTCATGGTGTCCTGTCACTGCTGGTTTGCAAAGAAGTGGTGACAGTGCCAAGAGTCCAGCACTGACCACAGCTCAGTAAGCCCACACTAAAGCAGCTTACTCAGCAGGAGAGGGAAGGTTCAGAGTACCACGGGGGTCATTGGCACTATGTGGGTCCATGGTGTACTTCCAAGCTGATGTAAATCAGTATTGAATTGACTCTCAGGCTTTGAGTGAGGTCTGTCCTGGACCTCAGTGCAGAGAAGGTGTGCAGAGACTGCTGTCACTCTGATAGCAGCAGCTGGGTGATGAGAGAAAGCTTTAGCACGTGTTTGTCCCCCTGGGAAGGAGGAGAGGGTGATTGCTGGAGGACTTTTTATTTTAACCTGCCGCTATCTTCAGAATTTCAATGTGTGCAGTTAAACTCAGAGCAGCAGTTTTCTAGCTGTAGGCTCTACTGAAATCTCATGTTGAGTGAGGATTTATTTGTCCTCAGGTCTGGCTGTGAATTAATGGTCTGTTTTAGAGGTTTCAGTGGGCTAGAATTGCCTTCTTGATAGAGAAAATGCCAGTGCTATGCAAACTCAGCAGGAGCACTTTGAGATGCTAAGAGTCTTCTTTGCTACTTTTTGTTGATCCAGGTGGTCCTTTCTAAGTACAAGTCAAAGAAATTCCTGGTTTTCCCTTCCTTCATCTCCCCATGCAAGTGTCATGTAGTCAGCAGGAGCACTGAATCTCCCAGTCTCCCTTTCCTGTTTGCATGAGAGGGAAACAGAGGGAAGCGAGATGGAACCATACGTTCCTCTGCATCTGCACTCTGAAGGCAAAATTATCTGTGAGCCTTAAGCATGTGGGTGGGAGAGCTGCCAAGCCAAAGTTGTTCCCAAGTATCTGTAAACTAAATCTTATTCCCTAAATTCATCCAACTAAGGAACTTTTACTCTGGCAAAGGCTTGTAAATATTACAGTACCTGTCACTTTTGGATGCTGCTTTCTGTTTTCATAGCAGCAAATTGAAAGCTTTGAAATCTGGGATGTTTCGCTTACTTTTGTAGAGGTTGACCTCAAAGCATCAATCGTTCTTCTCCTTTTAGAATCTATGAAAATTTTTTTTTCTCAGAAAACTTCTTGTAGTGACAACACTGCTAATGAACAGAGTTCTCAGATATTCCAAAAGTTTGGGCATGTATTGAGATATGTGTACCAAAATATAGAGAGTTTTGCATCTCTGTTACTCTCAGTGATTCAGTTTTCTTTACATATATATACTTACAATGAAGTGAAAAGTATTAATCTAAACAATGTTTATAAAGTGATTTCTGAATGCCTGTCTGTCTCAGAGTTATGTTTAGCTTTGCTGGGGTTTTAGTTCACATGTACTTTTCAGTTTCTTCACCATCTGCACACCATGGCTTCCACTTGTTTCAATTCAGCCATGTTTTGCTTATTTTCAAGACAAGTTGCTGGTTTTTATAAATCTGTGACTTGAGTTTGCCAGATGCAGTTGCTCCCACCATTTGTGCTTGTCTCCAGTTCCTTTTTGGAGAAAGGTGTCATCCTCTTGAAATAAGTCTGCAAAGTGAAGAAGTCTTGGCAGACCTGTTCTGAATTGTGTTCAGTGCTGTGCAGCTAACTCAAGCTATAACCCATTTGTGGCTCTGAAGTTAACCTGGCCACAGCTCAAACTCCATTAAAATAGTACTTTTTTAAGGCTGTGCTAACTAAGGAGGTAATTTAAGTAGTCATTCATACTTGTGTGATGTCCTTGATTTGACTTAGTCAGTGTTGTCAATGTGCACACAGCTTGTCTAAAAACCTGGGCCCCTGCTGACCTGTCTCAAAGCCATGGCTGAAGCCAAGGTTCTCTCTACACTTCAGATTGCAACCCAGCCCTCTTAAGCGATTTATGCGCAAGTCCTATGAGTCCTACAGTGGTTTCTGCCTTTCCTGCTGCATTCCCAGGGGAATCCCAGTTCTCCTGCAGTGAACAGGAAGTGCATCCTAGAGCAAGTCAACTCACCAAGTCACTAAGAGGGCTGGCTTTTGACTCCAGCCTTCCCACAACCCCATGTGAACAAGCACAACATTGGCAGAAACAGTCTGGAGCAGACCTGCTCCATTAAATTTTACCATGGTTCCCATGATTCTTCTCTTTACCCAGAACTTGCTGAGCAGTTTTAACATGGTGGTGTCTCAGCAGTGCTCTGGTTGGCTTTGCCAGACCAAATGAACACTGCTTTCCTGGCAGAGCCACCCCAGAGAACAGCAGAATGTTCTGGCACCTTGCCTGAAGTAAATAAACACTGGAATCTGCCACCTGAGGAGCCCTACAGGACATATGGCTTTGTGAGACTGCCTTTTCTAGTCACATTTGCAGACCATTCTGTTTCTTGTAAAATGCTTTAGAAAATTATGCTTGAAGGCATAAAAAGATCCCAGTTGCTTTTCACCTCACTGGCTAAGTCATGTGCAGTGTGTTCCTAAGCAGGTGATCATTTTTGCTGCCTGTGAAAATACTGGCTTTATATTGCCATTTAGACTGCATGAAAATTGAGCCTTTCATCTTCTGAAATGTTTCCAGAAACCCAAATTCAGGCCTGGCTTACAGTCCTTTTGGGTGCTTTAATACAAGCTGACTATTAAGAGGCAGTTATTAAGGAGAGAGCTGGTAATGATGCAGCTGAGGAGCTAAACCCCTCATCTTCATTTGAGTCTTTTTATTTTCTTGCAGATGAGAGGATCTGTTCACCACCGTTTATGGAGCTGACAAGTGCCTGTGGAGAAGATACCTTGAAGCTTATAGAGAAGAATGGACTGGCATTCCCATTCAGTATGTACTTGAGCTTTTCTTTGGTGCTTCTAGTAGGTTCTAAATACTGCACATGCACCCCCCCCAAAACATAGCCAACATTGTAGGAGTGTGGGTTTCATTGCCAAAAGTGTCAAGGATATTAAAACTTTCCTGAAACAAATGCTCTGAGGCAGTCTGCTTGGAATGTGGAACAAACTCTCTCCCTGTCAGCTTTTACTTTGCCTTTTGTTGATGTTTCTTACTTTCAGCACCTCGCTACAGTAAATACGCATTCCTGGGAAATGCTAATAATTCTAACAAAGTTAGCCTCTTGCCCTGAACTTGTGCAAGATGTTTCTCCTGCCAGTTGCACTCATTACTTTTCTTCAGAAAATCACTGCCTTGCTGATTATGCTCTTTTTCCACCTACCTCTCCCTTTCCCTGGTCCAGGGTACGAGTATAATCTTAGCGGGTAAAAGAAAGAGGGTTAGCACAGATAACAGACTCCAAGGGCCCACAGCTCAAACAGCTGCTATGAACTGTTTGTGCTTTGAAGCAAGTTTCATCTCAGGGCTTGTGCTTTAATTGGTTCCTTTATTTGATTCCTTGCAGTATAAAGTGAGCAGGATCGTTAGTCGGTGTTTGTTCCCTTGCTGCTTGCCTCATTTGTAAGGTTCAGAGGTAAAGTTGTGTGGAAAAAGCATGTTTTGCCCTCCCTGCCATCGCTCTCCCAAATGAGGCAGGTCTCCTGAAGATAGGTTGTGAAGCAGTACTTGAAATCTCATGAATGGCTTTGCCCTCCTCTTCACATTCTGCTCCCCATACAGACTGCCTAGTCCTCAGTAGTCAGCAGCATATATTCAGGTCTGAATCAAACCCACTAAATGATGATGAAATTACAAAATAGCACTGAAAATTAATATACCTTGATATTCTGAGAGTGTTTTTTTCATTTTTCTGTCTCTATTTTTTCTTAAAAAAGGTCCAGCTCTCCAGAGCACGTCTCTGAGACATCATAAGCCATTTTGTAAAATTTCAAGTTACCAAGTTATTTTGGACTCTAGTGCAGGTTATCTCTCTTTCATAGCTCCCTGTCCTCTTGCCTGGCAATTTGATTCTTCCAACAAACTGAAAAAAAGTCTTGTCCTATCCACCCTCTCACTACTTGCAAGATTTCATCTCCTCTCCTTAACACATAAGTAACATCAGCCCTAGTCACTCTGTGAGCCCTAGGGTCTTCAGCTCCTCTATGGCCTCATAGTAGAAGCAGCTTTTTGTTTCTTTCCTCTAACGGGTTTTACTCCTCCTCTTAATCAAGATGGAGGTGAGAATCAGGATATACAGAGCAGATAAATGTGAAAGAGAAAGAAAAACTGCCAGGCTTTCTGCCTTTTTCTGTCCTCCTCTATGCTTGCCTGTGAAAAATAAGTTATATCTTCGTTTGGTTCAGCCTGTTACATTTCCCGCTCTTCCCTGAAAACAGGGAGGTAAGAAAATAAGTTGATTTTGACTGTGTCTCAGTTCCTTTTTTTAAGGAAAGTGCTGTTTTGTGGTACCTAGCGGTGTTTTGTGGTAAAGTAGCTCTAGCCTCAGACAAAAAATTACATAGTTGTAAAAATGCTCTCTGAGTAGACAGGATGGCAATCCTAATACTAGTACTAACTTCTCAGTTGATGCTTTGCAGCTCTGTCCAGTCCTAATAAAGATCTGTGCTTGCACCTTAGTTACAGGGAGGAATTGAAAGAGCAGAGCTTGGAGCAAGCCAAGTTTTGCAGTGATTAAGAGCACTGTTCAAGCAGAGACTGTCACTGGTGTTACAGTCAATGCCTTGGTCTGGTGGACTCCAGTGTTTGCATGTGTGGGTGGAAACAGGATTATAAAGGATTATATTATGTGTTCTGTTTCAGTGGTGAATTGTCTTTTCTTTTTTATTTACCTAGTTTGTAAAACCAGAGTGGCCCATGGAACCAACTCTCATGAGGTGAGTTGAAAATTTTTGCAGTATTATTCACCTGCTTCCAGTCGTGTCCTGTCCCCCCCTCCCCCTGTGGTGGCTTGGCTGGTGATTTCCAATCCTGTAGTGGGTGGGAATAGGGCTGTGCCCAAACAACTTTTCTTCCCCACCTCTCCCTCATGTTTAATTGCGGCATTATTTTTTTTTAAATCTGAAATGAAGATAAATATGACTTGAACCTCCTGTCATGCAAGCTATTTTTAGCAGTTTTTACCTTCTATCATATTGCTTCTAGCAGTTTGTAGTCTCCAGTCAGCTTTGTCCAAGAAATCTCTTTCAATCACTCCTTCGGTAGGAGGGCACTAAATAAAGTTTCTGTCCCAGAAAGTTACTTTTCCAACATGTATGTGGTACAGATGAGAAGTGGGTTTATGCTTCAGATGGAGCAGCTGGCTCCTTTCCCTGAGGGGGAAGGGAGTAACAAATAGAGATGGTTTCCAGGCAATGTTCAGTTGTAATAACATAGTGGGATCTGTGGGGAGAACAGGACTGGTAGAACTTATCTGCCTTCCTGTAAGGGAATTGCAGCTAAAATGGTTGTATATTCCTGGAATGAGTGTATTACCTATGAGATTAGCCTCCTCTAAATTTAAGTGAATTGAGTTCTGTTTTAATTCTTTTCCATTTGTGCTTCCTGCCTTCCTGCTTACTTCAGATCAGTTTTGAGAATCCAGCCCTTGCTGCTGGCTCTCCTAACTCCTGGCTTCCTTTGTTAACAACGTGGCCATCAGTCCAGGCTTCCCAGCTGCTCTTGAAATGTGCACTACAAGACATTGCTGCAATGTCTCTGAGAGCTGAAAACCCTCAAGTAAATTGTAAATCTAGATGAGCAGAATGGCTGTGGCTGAAATCTTGACTGACCAGCACTTCTTTTAAAGATGCAGTGAGATTTTGCAGGCAGGCTTTACCTTGGCTTATTTCACAAGCCAACAGACAGTCCTGTTAGTTTGTTGGAGCAGCTGCTATAAATTTTTGCTGTCATTCCTAAGAACACTTGGGTACTGGATTTTTAATGAATTTAAGACTTCAATTTTCCTGCTGATTTTTCTGTCAAGAGTTCATCTGCAACTGCAAACTGAAACACATGAACTTCTCAGTACTTGTCCAGTTAGGCTTGGACTTCATTTCCTTGGTGAATCTTTCTTTGATCTTCTTTCATACAGTGCAGACACATCTAAGCCTCCTGCCAGAGCAAAAATTAGACTAAAATACACCCATGGTCTGCACTTTATCACAGGAACTTATGACAAGAGATTAGGAGGACCCCTGGAAAAAAGCCTGAAATCTTGCATAGTGCTTTACATAGTAGTAGCAGTAGTCACTTTTGGAGTTGCTGAGTTCTCAGGAGTGATCCAAAACTATATCTATGATCAGAGTGGGACTGTTTTGGAATTGTTTATGGTCAATAATTACAAAGGAAACATAGGATAAATACCTGCTTACAGCACAATCTGTCTAAAGGATGGAGCATAGGTCTAGAAGCAAGAAATTGTTGTCTGTTTTGTTAATGACTCCTTGTCTGGCTTTTGGTAAATCACTTCATTTTTTTGTGGATATATTTCCAATGCAGAGCTGACACTAAAATTAGAACACTGACCAGAAACCCGCTTTTCTTCATAAGATGGCTGTTAAGAAAGTTCAAGTACTAGCTAACAGGGACAGCTGAAGGTTCAGGCTTGAGTTTAGGTTTGGTGAATGAGTTAGGGGGTTTGGTGTGTGAGTTCACCAGGTGAGGCTGGCAGACTCCATTTTTCTCATGTGAGTACATGCTGTTGTTAAGCTGGGGTGGTGTCACCCTTTCTGTGGTGTCCCTAGTTCCACATGGCCTCTGCACTAGCAGTGGCCTCAGCAGCTCAGCACCATTTGTTAAACTGGAACAGAGATGTTGGCTGGAAGTTGTGCTTCCTGGCTGCCAGTGAGTCAGAACATAACTAACCTTTGGTAAAGCTGCCATGAGAGACCCATAACCTGAAGAAATGTATCCAGAATTTCTTCTGAGCATTTGAACAGACAAGAAGGAAAAGGCAGAGAATCACTGTGTTTTGTGAGACTGACTTCCTTATGGACATTGTCAATAAAAATTCTTGTGCAAATGTTTTGTTTTGCCTTCAAAAGCGCTCTGCATTTATAATGAGAAATGCTATTTGAAAATTATGATATCAAGTATTGTACCCACGTTGCTGCCAGACACAGCAGGTCTGTGCCAGATGACAAAGAGCAAGTGCACCCTGCAAGCAAATTCTTGGAGCTCTATTCATGCATGTTAAAAGCCATGAGACATGGCAGTGAACCGGCATAAGGCACCCCACGGGGTTTGTATGGGCTTGTGCTAGTCCACGGGGCTGCCAGCACTGTGCTGTGCAGAACAGAGGCCCCACACAGCTTCCAATAGTCATGGTCCGTGCTAAACTCCTAAAATAGGCTGAACCTGTTCATCTTATGTTTATTTGTGGGAATGAATTAACTAATAATGGAATAGAACACTACAGAACAGCACAGTTCTTGCCAGTGTGATGTTGTAGACACTATTATGCAAACAGTCCATACAAGAGGAGGAAGAGAGCAATGTTTTTTGCCACCAGTAAGACACAAATGAGGTGTGATGTTGTTGCTGTGAATCATTTTGATGGATGATTCTGTCTGTTAGAGAAATTTCTTGCACAGGTTGTTACCACTCACAAATTCACTCTGTGCTGTGTAATAGTGACAGCAACAATATCAGCTGTAAGTAAGTACTGAATGCACACATTGACTTGAACATAGAAAATGTTTATCTACTGAGTTATTGTGCATGTGTGCAGTTATTTGATCATTCATAAGACCCAATAAATGCCTTCCTTTTTGGCATATTTATTCCAATGCTCTCAAGAGGACTATCTGTTTAGAGTAATAGGGTGAAACCAAGCAGGAAAATTGATAGGCCAGCATTTGTCAGCAGTAAGAACTACTGGAGTCTGAGAAATGTTCTCCGATTGTGTGGGTGAAGCCCTGGTGCTTAGTCTGTTGCAACTGGGCTGAACCAAAACAGGGAAATAGATCTTGGGGAAGAATTCTTGTAGTTAGTGCACAGAACTGTTCCTTCTGTTGTTCTCATGATACAGGCTTGTATTCAATACAAACTTTGTTGTCTGTGTTGGTCAGATGTTTTATCTCTTTGTTGTACCTGCAGTTGCAGTAGCTTCCCAACTAAAGGCAGCAAATGAAATTGCAAAGTGCTGTGAAAATGTTGATAGAAAATGAAAGCTTCACTGCCAGTAGTGTTTGCAGAGCTGTGTGTCAGTTAAATGAAACACAATGAAATAGAACAAGATGCAGAAAAGGAGTTGTTCCCTTTGTTGCTTGTCAGGTGTGGGTAAGCATGAAATATTGGCAGCCTTTTGCACAACCACGTGTGTGTGTTTGCAGATGGCGATCATCTTCAACCAGGAGGGCCTCAAAGCTGTTCGCCCCCCCTGTGTCATTCAGAGCTTCATCAACCACAATGCTGTGCTCTATAAAGTGTTTGTGGTCGGGGAGTCTTACACCGTGGTGAAAAGACCATCTTTAAAGAACTTCTCTGCAGGCATCTCAGGTACGTTGTACTGATTGAAAAGAAAATGTCTCTTCTTGCAGCCTCAGCAGGAAACATCTCTGAAGAAAATATCTGTGAAAAAACTGCTGCAGTGAAGGCAGCTGGTTTGGACATGCCGTGTTTCCTCTGCTGTATTATTTCAAGAGAAAGGGAGATATCTCACCTGCTCTGGAATATGTATGAGTGGCATTCATATAGTAAATATTTATGCAATGGTAACCTGAGTCTTACCTGTTAGGCTCTGTTTTATGTCATGTGGAAAGGTGGAAAGGGGGAGAGGGAGAGAAGTTCTCTCCTTTCCCACTAAGTTCATGTGTCATTTGTTCCGGAACTTGTTTATAAATGTGGTTTGGACAGAATTTCCTGGATTCCATCATTTCAGTACTTCCTCTCCCTATTTTTACCTAGAATATGTCTGTGTTTTAAATTAAAGATCACTTGTGCTGTCCCCTAAATGAGCCTCCCTCTTCATGTGAGGCCCAGTGTTGAAAATCTTGGTGGGCTGTGTCCTTTTTGGTTTGTAGATATCACGTGTGTTGGGGAGAAGGAGGAATGGACTTGTCAGTGAGGAGAGTGATTCTTCTGTATGTTATTAGACAGCCACACCTGAAGGGTTTTTGTTAAAGATTACTTAGATTTCCTTTATGGAAAAAAGCTCCTTTCCAGAGGACTGCATTTCTGTGGCCACCAAAAGCATAAAAAAATTAGCGGCACATAGCACATTTTTATATGCTTTTGGGAGCAAGCATGATCTGATAGCAACTGGATAAATCCAGGAGGTGAGGATGGGATCAAACTAAAGGAGATGAATGAACAAATGCTAGTTTTTTGTCACTTTTCTTAGTGTTTTTGGCTAATCCTAGTAAGTCCATGTATGCTCACCACTGCATTTCACAGACAAATATTTATTTTGTTAGTATAGGTGTAGTAGGATGCTGGTGGAAGTTCTTGTCTTCAGCTCTGTGTGCCTGTATTTACATTTAGGTCTGGTCTATGTCCTGATCAAATTAATAAGGCCAGAATCTGTGTTCATATAAACTGTTAGGACAGTGGCTTCTGTCACCTCCGAGTGTCTTCTGCATTCCAGTGGTGCCTCCAAAAGAAGGACAGGTCCTGGCCACAAAATGTATTGCTTTCTGCCATGGTCACAGTGCCCTGCCCAGTTCAGAGGGCCCTCAGTGTAGCCTGGGTGCTACTGGCCTATCACCTGCAGTGATTGCAACTTCTGTCATACACCTTCCCCTTAGAACTGTCAATTTGAGTATAGCACATTAGTAAAAATTAACTTCATTATCTGACTGAACTTAGTTAATTTGCTGTGGTGAAGGAAGGAGAACTGGTTTCTGTTTACCCAGTGCATGGTTCTGTTTATCAGTGGTCCAAGAACCGTGGCATATCTGTCCGTGGGTGCCAGCAGGCAGGAGAGCCCTGTGGGTGGGGTGGATGGTTGAGACCAGGACGAGATTCATGGGGCTGCACTGCCACCTACTGTTCTTTGTACTGTCCTTTGGAAATTAAGGTCAGGTATAAAGTTATTTACAACCTGTTTTTAATTGCAGACAGAGAATCAATATTTTTCAACAGCCACAATGTTTCCAAACCAGAGTCCTCATCTGTCTTAACAGCGGTAAGTACGCTTGGTCTTTTTCCCTCTAGTGCAGCTGGAAACCTATCTAATCCTTTCTTATGGAAGTGTTAGTAGCTAGTGACTCTCTTTCACAAGCTGTCTGCTTCTGTGTTGCAGGCTGAGGTCTGTTTGGTACCACGAACCAGCATGACTGGGTGCCCCTCTGGTTTTCCTTACCGAGCTCCGGTGAGGAAGAGCTTGTAGCAGGGATGTTCTGCTTCCCAAACTACCCAGGGCTAATCTAGGCAAAGGGAAGAAGGAGATTCTGAATGCAAACTGAATGCAAATGAAGAAGGAGATTCTGCCTTTATACTGTCCAGAGAGATTAATAAGCATAAATCATTCTTTTAGGACTCAGTTCTGTGAGGAAAGACAAACAGTGAAAATTAAAGCTTAGAAATTGTGTTGGCACAAGGCCACAGAGCACCAGTATTTTTCTGCCATGTGAGCATGCCTGAGCTGTGACCATGGGACCATTTCTGGATGTCCTTCGAGCCCAGCAGTGCCAGCACACTGCACAGTTTCATGCTAGCATTATCAGTCCTTTTAATAAGATTTGGACATATGAACCTTAACAAGTTCTTGGGCACTCAGCTACTGAAAAAGTCACTTTACAGCACTGGGTCCTTTCAATCTCTTGAGTCTTGGGATTCTTTTCTGTTTCACAAGTTCTGCTGGGGACTAGTTTTGTATTTGATTTTGAATTTTGTGTGCAACACTGGTAGGCATGCTAAATATTAAAACTGTAGTTGTGCTAATCATAAGTCCTTTTGTGGTTATGCTGAGGGAGAAGCCATTACTAAAAATTTGCTTTCAGACTTAGGGAGTGTGCTCCTGTGGTTTATTTGCCATCTCACTCATACAAATATGTATCCCAGTCATGCTTCTGTAACCATAACAGCATACTTCTGCTGTGTAACATGTTGTTTAAAAAGCAAAGAATAGTGCATCCTCCAGTCATAAGTAACCTAAGTCACTCATTTTAAAAAATACTAACAAAATAATTTGTACATGAAAACCCACATAAAGGGTATGCTCTGCCCTTAAGATATCAGCTGAGTTGTATTGTATGAGAGATTATTGTATGATTCAGATTAAACTAACAGCAGGAGTCTGTCCTGTCAGCCCTTTAACACAGACCTTGATCTACACTGAAATAATAACGATAGCCAGAACTTTTATAGCACAGGGTTAAATATGCCTCCTGTATATGTTTTTGAAGATATAGATCTAGTACTTAAAATAATGAGTCTGATTCTCCATTCATTCCTACACTGCTTTGCCTCTATAGCAACACCAGTATGAAGAGGAAGAACTAGATGCTTTAGAGCAGACAAATTTCCAATTTAGGAAGGATTTTGAATTATGAAAGCAGTTTCTCTCTGGTATCTTTCTTGGTTTCATGCCACTGGTTCTCTGCAATTAGATTTGGTGGATATGCACCTGGAAACTTCTGAAAATCAATCTTTCCACTAAAAGGGCTGTTTGAGTCCCTTAGTAATGTGTCTCTTTCCATTACAGCTGGATAAAATCGAAGGAGTATTTGAGCGGCCAAATGACGACGTCATCCGGGAAATCTCCAAAGCGCTGCGGCAAGCTCTGGGAGTTTCCCTCTTTGGAATTGATATCATCATTAACAACCAGACTGGGCAGCATGCAGTCATTGATATAAATGCATTCCCAGGTAAGAAAGGCCTTTCCACTCCTGCTTCGTGGAGCAATTTTTGCTGCTGTTGTCTCATATCATTGCTTCCCAGGCTGGGGGTGGGACAGCATCCACCAGATGGTTCTGAGATCAAATACAGGTCAGTCTGGGAAGGGAAGAACCCTTATTTAGATATGGAATTTGCATCTGAAGTATCAGCTCTTAGGAAATATGGTCAAATTTTAGTGGCCAGTTGTAGCTGTTGTGCCCTTCTGTGCAAAGGGAAACTCAAGAACTGCAGTGTGGGACTCTGTGCTGGCACCTATCCTTTCTCGGCCTAGCCCTCATTCTGAAATGAAAAGAATACTAAATTCTATTTTAGTAGAGCCTTTATAGATTACTTTTTCTTTTTTGAGACTCTGGGCCATTAAAAAAATGAGGGGGTGGAAGAAACAAACTGTTCCCTTGAAAATTTCTTCCTGTGCAAATTGATTCCCCACAAAAAGACATTTGTGCACAAAAGCAATACCAGGAATCTGAAAATGATAAAATTGTGGGTGCACAGAAGTTGCTGTAGAGAGTTCGTGTCCTTGCAGGTTCTCATAAGTGCGTTCTGGAGTCTGTGGATGGACTAGGGCATGTAGAAATGGGTAAATCTGTCCTCCACTTTACTTTTTTAGTGCAACATATGTCTTGGAAACAACTAAACAAGCTCCTTGATCATCAGAATTGTTAAAAGGAGCTGTAAGTGTGAATAAGAGTGAGGCAGTAATGGTCTGTCACTCATGCTAAATTCAGTAGTTTAAGCCAGGAAAATAACCCTGCTGTTTTGCAGGGTGTTTTTCTCTCTGAGAATCTCCTCTCATTACCTGAATGGGGGTGTTTGTTTCATGAGACTTACACAGGCTGTTGTGTTGTTTCTTTAACCCATCATTGAAGACTTTTAAGTTTTCCATATGGCTGTGGTGTCTTTACATCTCAGGTCTTGTTCTGAGCTCCCAATCTCTTCAGTTTTTCAGATCAGGTCCTCATTCCTACTGCCCTTTAGTGTCTCGTCTGTCTCTCTCCACAGTGACTGGCTTCCTCCTAAAACTCAGCTCTGCTCTCCTCAGGTCACTTCCCAGAATGGTTCTACCACATGGTGTTATGCAATTTGCAGACCTGTGAAAACACTCTTCTGCCCAGGGCAGTGAAACAACCTAAATTGGGTGTTAGATGGAACCATATCAGTTTTAATAATAGGATTATATTTCAGACATTGGGCCTTGAAGTCAGTGATAGAGGACATTCGTTTGCAATCCTGTATCCTGCATTTTGGTTTGGTGCTTCATGTTTTGGGGTTTGGGTGGTTTTCTTCAAGTATTATTTTGGATTTAGTACTTTGCACAGACTGAAATTCTCCTTCTTGAAATGTTGAAAACTCCACATTGGGGAACAGCAATGTGGCAAACATATATTTAGACAGGACCAATGACTTCTTGTTGTCTCTTAAGTTTGCAGAACTGCTCTGCTCTACTTCTGCCCTAAGGCAGTAGTTTTCAAAATTCAGCCCAAGTCCTGCATGTCAGCCTGCACAGTAATTGGTCTTTGAATTAATTGTGTTTTAGTCCTTGCAGGAGACTTGGGAGCACAGGGAAGTTTCTTATGCACTGATCTACATCATGTCTCACACAGCAGTTTTTCTGGTGGTAACTACTGACTTTATCACTGTGGGATAGGCTGAAAACCAGTTGGAGAAAAACTAGAGGATAGCTGTAGGGCCCAAACATATAGAAGAGAAGGCAGGGGAGAGAAAAACTGGCTTCAAATTTGTAAAAGGTAGCAGAACAGAGATGAGCCCTGTTCTCAAGGTCTGCTGAGGTCCGAGAAGAAGCAATGGGGTAAAATGCAACAGAAGCAAAGTTACATCTCAGCACAGGTAACTCTCTGTTGCTCAAAAGCATGTTCAGCAGAGGTAGCTGCATTTCCCTCCAAGGGCCTGTGTGATTCAAGACTGAAGAGTTACAGTGACTGACTTCATTGACTGAGCCAGCACTTTGCTAGTGAGAAGTTCAAGCTCAGCCCCCCTCAAAAGAGTCACCAGTGGGCTGCATCAGCAGTGGGATCTGCCTGTTCCTGGCTCAGTGCAGTCCCAGGAAGTGTCCTCCCTTGCTCTTCTTCCTCAAATCATCATGGCCTTCAAGAGCTGTAGTAGAGCCAAATGGAGCCAACCCTCCTGGGCATTATCTCTGCAGCACTGCTCTGAAAAGGGGAGGGGGAGAGATGCCCTTTAAAGAGCATTCACAGCCTCTTTCATGGAACTCGAGCCATGGCTTGGGGCCAAAGCCTTATCCAGCTGCCCAGAGGTTTGCTGCCTTTCTTGGGTGCTGTCTTCAGTGTTTACTGGGCTTGAAGCTTGTTTGAACCTGCCACTCCATGGATGTCATCTGAGATGAGTTTAATGACAGAATTGAGAGCAGGTGTACCTGTAGGAGGATGTTGTCTGTTATCTGTTGTCTGTTATCTGCTCCATTAGCACCAGCAACTCTTTAAAAAGATTTTAAAGATAAATGTCTGGAAGGCCTATTGTGTGTTTTGTTATGTGGGAAACTACTGGTACTATATTTAGCAGTGGTTACCAGCTGAGATATTGAGCTGTAGGCACAGTCACGTAGCCTGTGGGAGTTATGTTTGTCTGACCTCAGATAAGTGAGAGAAAAGTTCCACATAGCCTGCTGTCCTGTGGTTGTGGCTGAGCTCACCCAGCCCCAGCAGCTGCAGGCTAGCACCATGCAGGTGAACTGCTGGCTCTGGTGAATCTGCATGGTAGCTGGGAGCATCAAATCTGAACGTGCATTTTGTGTGTGTAAAAACATTGCTGCAAACGCAGGATATGGGCTGTCCATTTCTCTCTGACCAAGGGAACATGCAGAAAAGCCAAGTGTCCCAGATCAGGGAGAGTCTGAAAAATCAGGCAGGTAGCATCTAATATGCTGGCTTAAAAATGCTCATAGACACTTGCCTCCACCAAAGCTTGCAGAGGTGGGCACTTGTTTTCAGATGCATTGCTGGGTGGACATCTTTCCTATCTGTGCTCAGCCAGAGAACTCTGGAGACTGTTCTCAGTATAGCAAATTTCAGGCATCTTGCAGACAGGCATTTCCAAAATTGTTTCAAGTGGGCAGTGCTAGGATAGCACCTGCTGGAGCACGATTCATGCAAGTTGTTTTAGGCATGCAAAAGTTATACCCTCCCACTGATTCCCTGTGTAACACGAATCCCAAATTCACTGCCAGTAGTTTCTGAAGGTGTAATTCAATCTGCACTTCTTGATTTTCTTATCATTGCAGCACAGTGGTGTCCCACAACTGACTAGTTTGAGAAGCCTACAGGAACCCTAGGTGAACCAAGTGAGGCAATACCCACAGTTTGCAGCCTTCCCAGGTGTCCTGTGAACCACAAGTTGAGACAGCTAATTATCTTCTCAGCTAATTCTCTTCCTCCCTTCCTTCTGTTTCCTTTTTACAAGTTTGTGAAGTTTCTTCTGAGTGACTGGGCAGAATTACTTGGGCATTTCCACCCAGTGTGCAGAGGGTTGGCACAGACAGAGCCTGCCTGTTACATACCGCTTCCTTTCACTAACATCTGCTAATGTTAGTCCTGATTTCAGGGCAGAGTAACTGTTAGTTCTGATTTCAGGACAGAATAACTGGCCATCTTATTCCTATTAAATATTTAAAGCAACTTCTTTGTGAGTTTCCCAGGTGCCCTCCTACAAGGCTAGTTTGTCTTCAATGAGCAGACACAGAACACTCTGGGGTACTATGGATCTCCTTGCTGAATATTAAAGCTGTTACTATGGAGATGGCTTATTCCTGGGGTGTTTGAAGCACTCTGAGTAGATTTGAAGGCTAATCCCATGGCTTTTACATAAGCAAGAAAGCGTAACAAGCACTTCTGTCCAAGGGGTGGAGATCCTGTTCTGACTCCCATGGCCAGCCCCAGGAGTCCTAGTTGACCCCTGCCAACCAGTGATTATCTTGTGGGGCACTGGGAAACTTGGTGTTTTGAAAGGAGAGATTTGTTTGGTGAATCCCTTCAAGGGCCTCTGAGAAAGGAGAACTGTGAACTGTTGCCTCACATTGCTGATGTTTTCTGACCTGTTAAGTATCTAGGAGAATTGGGACCAAGTGCAATAAAATCCAAAGGAATGTAGCAGCCCAAATAAGAGTTAATTGGTTGACCTATGACTTATAAATACACCATAAAATCCCCACATTTATTATAGGTGAAATTATAATCTTACTTCATGTTTTCCAAGAAGTTGGGTTTTTTATTGCCTAAGGAAGTTGGTCTTTACAGGACAATGGAAATTAAAATTGAATTAATTATGGATCTGAGGAACTCTTCTGCCCAGTTATAACATCACTAAAAGTGTTTTAAAGTATGCATTTACTTTGTGGTCTCTGCTTCTGCTCATGTGCTGCTGTGTGAATGTGTGCTATTCACACAGGTCTTTTTAAACTTATTGCTTCAGTCTCCTGTATTAATGGCAGGTCACTTCCGGAACACTTTAATAGACATTTTAAAACAACCAGCCTATCTCATTGACCAACACTGAACTGACAAGAATTTTAGGTAATGCAGTAGCAGCTAAAATCCATTTCAGGACATTGTACCTATATGTTGCATGTCTGGTTCAATTTTAAAACAAAATTCAATGATAAAACTGTGCCTGTAGCACAGTGTTTAGAATAGACCCAGAAGCTCTGTACACCTGCCACCATTTGTGTCACCAAAAATTTCATGTCTACTGGTACTTTAGCAACTGTTTTTACCAGGAAACTTGTTATTAAACTGCATTGTAAATTGTCTGGAATCACTTAACAGAACATGCAGGAAGGTGGCTTCAGTGCTGAAACAAATGATTGATGTTTCTATCAAATACTGCATCATTGATGTACATTTCCTGTCCCTCAGGTGTTCTGTCAGACATAGCAGCAAAAACACAGTTTTAAGTGTCAAGTTTGGTTAGGTTAGACAAGCATTGCTTCTTGCTCAGTGGGAAGCTGCCTTTTCTGTAGGGTAGAAAGCCAGCCCTGCTGTCCTCTCAGGTTTCCCTAACTGAGGGTATTGCTGGGCAAATTCTGGAGAGGGTCCAGACCCTTAACAAAGCTCTGCACTGGAGCTACTTGCCAGAGTAAACTTGGAAATGGTATGGAAAGGATCAACACTATACCAGAGAGTTTGTAACTTAGGAAAAACTTGGACTCAGCAACAAACCTAAAATGATATATACATATATATACTTGGGAGGAAAAAGAAGCAGCAAATCTGAAATGCAATTGCTTTTCTCATTGGAAAAATACTTTTATTGCAAGAGTCTCTGTTTCTCTTTATGCTAATCTCCTTCTGCTGTCACTTAAAATGTTGTCATGGAGAAAACCTTTTTTTATAACCTTTTTATGATCAATGGATGGCAAGAACACTCCAAGAAACAAACTGTTAAAAGAAGAACCTTTCAAAGGACCTAAGGAAATTACTTAATTGCCTTTTTTTCTCTCCTTCATTTTTTCTCTTTTCAGGCTATGAGGGTGTTTCTGAATTTTTCACAGATCTGCTGAACCACATAGCTGCTGTCCTGCAGGGTCAGGTGCCTGAGGTGACCCAGCTAAACCACAGCAAGCTCCTGGCAGAGCAGAGCGGTGGGATCATGGACGAGCGGATATGCTGTGCTAGCACAGGCTGTCTCAGCGTCATGGGAAAAGACTCCTGGATTGTGGAGAGCGACAGCAACAGCTCAGTAAAACTGCAACACCAGAGACTAGGCTGCAACTCAGCAGTGTCCCCCAGCTTCCAGCAGCACTGCGTCGCTACATTGGCAACAAAAGCTTCTTCTCAATAACTTGCCAATGCCATGGACTGAGAAAAAGCCCCAGGGATACAGATTGTGGCCCCAGAACCAGATCAGGCTTTAACAATACAATTGACAAAAAAATAGGGGGGAAAACCCAACATAAAACACAACACAAAAAAGCAAAATAAAAAAACTTTCAATTTGATTTAACCTAATTTGCTGATGAAACGGACTGAAAGGGGAAGAGTGAGAAAGTGATCCAAATCCATTTCGTCAAATTCCAGTTGCAAATCTGTAGTGAGTTTACACACACACGTGTTTTAACACTAGTCCTTTCATTGTGGGAGGGTTGCTCTTTCATTTCTATTATTCTTTGTAATCACTGGTGACCAGCATTTTAAAATCGGACCTCATGCTATCAAGAAGATAATAATGTTGAAATGCAGTGTCTGAATGTAACAGTGCTAGAGATTTTTGCCTAAAACTTCCTGTTCCTCTTTTTTCCACGTACGCCATTGCATAAGGAAGCTAAAACAACTTCAGTATCACTAAACCAAATCTCTTGAAATGTTGACCAGTCATGATGTTGGCAGGTAGCTTGCTGTGAAGCCACTGCACTTTGAGTAGGACAGAGCAGCCTGCGTATTCAGGGCACAGAACCGAGGTGACCACCCTTGTCCCAGCTTTGCAGTTCTCCCCCCAGGCCTCAGTGCTTCACTCAGATCAGCTTCCAACCACGCTTGCAAACAGCAACATCTTTTACCCAGAGAGGGTGCCACTATTTAGGTGGAGTCATTTAGTAGATTAAATAACATGCTTTCAATTGTCTGCTAGTGCTGAAATCTTAGAAGAGTTAAGGAAGCAGCTCATCTCTTCACAGGGAGTTTAATTCTCCTTCCATTGCACTTGTGAGGACTCTGGGAAAAGGCTGGCAGAGCTGTGCTTTTTCCTTGGAGCAGCACACCTGATCTGTGTATACTGAGAGGTAACACAGTCACTGCCTTCCACAGATCCATGTTGTTGTACATTTTTTTCTAAAATATAAACAAAATTGTGTACTTCATATAAGGTAGAAATACAGGACCCCTCTAGCTTGGAGACCCCATTACTTTGTAGCAAGCTGCCAGGCGAGGCCATATGGTAATTTCCAACAGTGCTGTATCCTATTTGTAAACTATAGCACAGCCAATTTGTATCTCTTGAGATATCTTCTAGTATGGCAGCATCTTCTGCTGTTGAGAATTCTTGCAACTTTTGCTAGTTCTGAACACTACATTAGAAATATCCAAGTGCTAAGCACAGAAACACTATTTTGGTAGAAGTGGCCTTCTCTTCCCCTTATTAGCCCTAAAATACATTTAAGAAGGGTGGTGTTAAAAGAATTTCCTTAGTTAAGCTCCTAGCTTGAAAATATAGGAATTTCTGTCTTTTGTACAGCACGTGTTCATAAAGCATCTGTCACTGCAGCATTTAATGCCAGTTTGGTTCGTATCATGTGTTAGATGGCTACTCAGAAGGAAAGGGTCTAGAACTTAAAGCCCAGATAGATCATGGACAGAGGATCAACTGTGTAAAAGTTGTCACCACCCTGTCTGATGGTACCAGTCCTAGAGGGAAACAAGTTTTGAAGAGTGTTATGTAGCAGTTCTTTTATGTAAACAAAGCTTTTCCCATAGGAGAGATTGGTCTTCTTCCAAAATGCCATTTTTGGGAATTTCCTGTAGCCAGGATTGAATTTTTCAGGATGATTTACACAACAGAAGATGATTCCACCTCTAGAGGGATTACTAACTTTAAAATATTTCTGTAGGGACTGGAAGAACCTTATGGGTGTGGTATCAGTCAGATCCCAGGGTGCTCATAAGCACAGCCAACTTCCTCAAGTGTTGCAGATCAGTTCTGAGCTGGGCACACTTCACAACCCTTGTATGCTTTGAGGCTGCTGGATCCCGTGTTGTGTGCAGCTTGCAGGTCTCGGATGGCTGTGGTGTGAGTGAGTCAGATGTACATAGGTAAGGGTTTATAAAAGTATTCATGGTAGACCAAACCTTTCCTAAAGCCATGACTAAAATGAAATTGACATCTGCAGTTTGGGGTTTGTTTTTGTTTGTTTAAAATAAAAAGTGTTTTTATGTTACATGCGTAACAAAAGATGCCCTCAGGAAGGAACTTGCCAGTGCATATTTTTGTATGGTACTTTCTTGTAACCAGCTGGTGGAGTGTTTGTAGATTTGCCTGTTGCTCTCTTTATTACAATGGCTTGGGCTTTTTTTGGTTTTTTGGGTTTTGTTTCTTTATCGGGTGGTGGGGATGGAGCAATGATGTTAGAACTGGGTTACTAACTCAAGACCTTTCAAACTAAGTATGTTTACATGAATCTGAGTGTTGGATCCAATGGAAATGTCTGTATGCTGTTTCCTAGTTAGAACATCAAATAAGAATTTTATTTTCCTGGCTGCCTTCTGAATTTTGGTTGGCCTATTTTGCACTGCTTTTTTTCTCCAAAATAAACTACTGAAATATAATTGTGCATTTTAAACTTGTTTACAAATTATTGTTAGAAGTTTATTTTGTAATTCTCTGAATGCTTGCAGAAATACTATATTTAAATATTACTCCAGACCTTGGCAGTAACTAGAAAACAAGTTTAGGTCATTGGTGTGATCAGTGACATTTTTTCCCATAGTCTGTAATTTATTTATTTATCGAATGTATCGGTATCACTTTAATTTACCAGGTGCAGTTATGCAGGTACCTGTTGTGATGTGGCATTACAATAGAGTTTGGACATAAATTACCATGCATTTGCTGTACTACTATATTTCCTTGCAGAAATTAAGGTAATGGCTCATGTACTAGAATGTTGCTAAATCACAGGGGCAAATTGGGAGACCAATTTGTAAAAGCCAAAACTGTAAATTACCAAGTATCCAGACATACAATTACGTTCTTGCAAGACATTTGAGCATGAGTATGTTATTAAGCTTGTGCTAAAGTGCTTTTCTGAATTGCTGCCTCATTTGGTAAGTTCAGGATAGTTTTGATTTAAGAGAAGCTTCACAGTAAGTTTGTTAATAATCTGTAGTCTTGTCTTTCTTTGTAAAAGTAGGAGTGTAGTAACATTAGATCATACCAGAATGCCCTTGCTCTTAAAATTGCAGACAATCTGAGGAGATTTTCCATAATGTCTGTTTGAATTCTTTTTATTGTGGGTTAGAAAAAGGTCCTCCTGTCTTTTCCGAGGCATAGCTTTTACTGCTGTGCTGATGAGAACAATTGTATCAAAATTACATGGTCACCAGTTAGCTTTTTAGGGCTTTATTACTGTTCTGCTTCACTGTTTGAAATCCACAAAAATACCATTAGCTTGACTGGAATTTCTCCAGGTTTTGTGTCAGCATGGTGGAGATAAGACTCTGGTTTCCACTGTAATTACATAATTAGCTTCAGCAGGTGAAGATCTTTCCATGTTGAGGAGTACTTGAGTGGTATTACTGCTGCCTGTGATGTAAAGTCACCCTCTTCCCCCTCTACCTGACTTGGCCACATTGTGCCTGACTTTGTAGCCTGTGCCAGAACATCCTGATCATTATGTGAAAGCCAACTGCAGAAATGCAACCAAGCCATCAGCATCTGCGCTAGCTCTTGTGGTTTGTGTAATGCAGAACCACTGGGCCAGTGATGTTTTGCCTTTGGTTGAAGTGTCTGGCTGTACAACCTTTGTGCTGAGGAGCTGATAACTGGGCTGGTTGGTAGGTAGGATAAATCCATTATTACTATTCAGACTGTTGTAATGTTAAAGTTTAAACATCTCCCTCCAATGTGGGAATGTGTCTGCAGCAGGTTGCACAGACAGAAATCTACCAGTTGAATTTGTTCTCATTGTAGATGATTACAAGCTAAGAACCCAACCCAGAGGCATCAGGAGACAATGAGAATTGCTCAAGATAAAGCCTCAAGTTTTCTAGATGAATTGCGGGCAGTATCCAGCCAAGGAACAACCAGGTGGAGTAGTAGTTGGATAATAGAGGCAGAACACAGTCCAAAAGCAACAGAATAAATGGGGCCAGAGGTGTTACCTGGCAAAAAAAAGAGCAAAACAGGAAAAATGCTTTTGTTGTTTTCATCCAGTTAAAAAAATCCAAACTTCTCAGTTCTTAGACTAACACTGATTTCCTCAAGTCTTTGCATGGCAGCAATGACAAGTGATTCAGGCTTTTCCACACTAGCTTGTAGCCTTGCCTTCCACAGCTGTGCAGAAAATCTTGGATTTTGGTTTTTTTAGTGAACAGAGTCTGAGTTTGTAGCAGTCTCCCCAGGCACACACTTGTGGGAGTTCACTTGCATTACCCTGCTAATTTTTTCCCCCCTCTCCTTTTTAGTAAGAGATGTATTGATTTCTGTATTCAGTATACAATTACTTTATGGTGTGTGTTTTGTAATTAGGAATATGTGAAAATGCTTTCTGTAGATTAAAATATTTCCTTTAATATAATCTCCTCTTGCTATCATAGAAAAATGGACATGCCATTGCAGATCACATTGCTGATTTTATTTGTAATATTGCTTTAATATCTATTTCAGAGGAATGTAACCTCCAGAAAAGTACTCTCCACATCTTTACTACCTTTCCTTTCACTGTTCACCCTATGTGGATCCAGGCCATCAATACTTGAGCTTTTGACTGGATGGGTTTCATGGATTCTGTCACATTTACATGGCCACAAAAGTTACTTGAGATGGTTGAAGTTTGGGAGGATCCAGACATGAACAGAGATGTTGGAGTGATTCCTCAGCAACACAAGCACAGTAGCATTTGTAGCAAGCAAAGGAAATTGGTTTTGCTCTTGTGTGTGCAGGTGGCTCTTGACGTCTGGTCCACCTTGCTCTTGGGGCAGCTTTCCTGTGGAAATAACAAAATCCGTTGAGATAAAAACATTCTTTATCTGTGATGCAGAAGAAGGGCAAGGAGAGTAGGGCTTGGGAGTAAAATCCTGGCCAGTGGACATCATGATACCAGTTGTCCAGAATTTCACTCTGTGGTTTTTAATAGCAATCTGGGGTGATGTTTTCTTCCTCTCCATCATTCTTACCCTGAATCCACTGGGGCTGATGATAGCAGATGCCTGTGGCCCACAAACTCATTAGCAGGTGACCTTACCCAACATGTCATGAATTTGCAGAGGGCTCCCGATGTGTTGGGAAGTTTTTGTTGATGGCCAGGAAATCTCTTGAAACTCCAGAAATAGCTGATACAGCAAATGGAGTTTATGAAAATCAGGTCTTCCTCTTCCAGCATTTTTAAAGAAACCCACATTTTATTTCCTCCTTCATTCTTTACACAGTAGTTTTAGATATAAATTATTTTAACTTCTTTTTTTGTGTGTGTGAAAAGTCATATATACATATATAAAGTTATTAAGTGTTGAGAATATGTTGAGTATAAAATAGTGACTTCTTTGTTTCAGATGTTAGCAGCCCCTAAAAATGAGTTGTTTATCCTCTTGTAAAGTCAGTGCTGTAAAAAAATACTAAAAAATAAAAGATGTGTTAGATGTATCTTTTATTATTTATTTCTGATTCAGTATTTGATACAGCTTGTGTATACCCTTGTGACAACCACATACTAAAAACACTGTCGTTCTTAAAATGGAGTAACAACAATTCCTTGGGATCCCAACAGTTGTGAGAGAATTGGCCCTCTGGGAGTGAGTGGTGTTGGATATTGTCCTTCAGTCTCCAGCACTGCCTCCCCCCAGCAGGGCTGAATCTCGGGGACCATTGTGTGTGTGTGCTCGGTTTCGCAAGTCCATTGGTATCTGTGTTCAAATCCAGCTGTACAGTGTTAACAATGTGTCTTGTGATTCGCTTCAGCCTGGTTCATTATAACTTCTGAAACATAATTCCCATTTTGTACTTAAATTTGTATA